GGCTTGGCAGCAGCTGGCACTGCCTGTGTCCTTTGTGGGGATTGGTGTAAGGACAGCAACGAACGCAGCCCTGCCGGCTTTTTTTGAAGTGAAAACTTCTTTAGCGGCGTTGTACACTTTTATTGTATGGGTAAAAAATGTTAAACTCGCGTCAGGTTAAACACGTGGGCTGATCGCATCATGACACACAATAAAATTGGAAAGGTTGTTGACTTTCAATATATTGGACGAAACATAGTAATATTTTATTTTATCGTATTATATATAATATATAAGTCTCTATCTAGGACGTCCAGGTGGCAGCTTTATTGCGAAGAATATGCATTTTTTTACAATAGATGTCGCTAGGTGCGCTTAAATGTGATTCATGTAAGTTGATTTCTTTACTATAGATGTAGCTAAGTGCGCTTAAACGTGATTCATGTAAGTTGATTTTTCTGAAACTTTTTTAATGTAATATATAATATATTGTCATGTTTGTGTACGAAAGCGCAATAAATAAATATTGTATTCTACCACATGCATGATATTACTTTTATACTGATAATTAAAGCAATTCGTGCAAAATTGTTCCCTAACCATTCCAAATTTTTAAAAATGCACAACGTTAATATTCAAGTTTTCACGTCTGCCGGCACTCCCGGAGTGCAACCCGTCGTTTTTTGTCTTCGGTTCATTCATTGGAATCTCATTGCGGTAGTATTCTAGGCCGTTCTCTGGGTTCTGTTGAGATTTCGGGACTTGAGGAATCAAAGAATACTACTAGCAATCCGCCTGGATTTATTGGGGTGAACTTTAATTTAACAAGATTATGGTAAAACCTGCCTTACGGGAAATCATTCTAATGATAAAATAATTTAAGAAATCGCTCCAGTAGTTTAAAGGGTTCCGCACCGAAAGGATGAAATCGGAATCCGAATAGTAAGACTCCACTGTCCGCCTGTCTGTCTGTCATCAAGCTTTAGTATCCCATGATAGCTATTCAGTTGAAATTTTCACAGATGATTATTTAACAACAAATACTAAAAACAGAAGTAATTAAATATTTATTTGTGGCTTCCATACAACGAACGTGATTTTTACTGTCGACTTTTACTCGATATTAATAACGACAACAGTACCCCTAGAACGAACCAATATCGAATTCGTATCGTTTGCGAGTCCGAAATGTCATTGTCAAATGTGTACTGTGACATTTCGGTTTGCAAACTATTCGAATTCGATAATGGTTCCTGCTAGGGGTACAAGTAGACGCTTGAAATATTCACAAGAGCATTTGTACGAAATTTCATTTTTGAAATAAAGTATAGATATTTAACTATTTTCATACAACAGACGTGTTTTTGTCGTTTTTTGCTTGATATTATAATATCGTTTTTTGCTTGATATTATAATAAAGGGTAATATTGTATTGAAAATGGTACTGTAGTATTCTTCGTGCGCGATTCTGACACGCACTTGGCTGTTTTATAGTTTATTCGTTACAGACATACATATTATAAACCTTTGTTTTGTAACGGGAGTTTTTCCATATGATATGAAAAAGGCATTAGTAAAGCCTTTGCATAAGAAAGGATCCAAGTGCGAAAATGGCAATTACAGACCAATCGCATTATTATCTAATTTTTCAAAGATAATGGAGAAGTTAATATATGTTCGACTCAAGTCCTTTTTTGATAAAAATGACATCATTAGCAATAATCAATTAGGCTTCCAAAAAAACAAAAATACAACCCTAGCTATTTTCAAGATTTTAAAGCAGGTCTGTCTTGATATAGACAAGAAGAAATCATGTGTGGGGCTATTTTTGGACCTGTCAAGGGCGTTCGATTGCGTAGTTCATGATATTTTGTTGAGGCAATTGGAGCATCTCGGAATTCGGGGTAACGCTCTAAAATTGCTTAAATCTTATTTGATAAATAGGAGCCAGGCTGTAGTTTTAGATACTTTTGATAGGAAAAGTAAAACAATTGTTCGTGTCCAACCAAATTATAAATTTATTAAATTAGGACTTCCATAGGGAAGTGTGCTGGGACCACCACTTTTCGTAACATATATAAATGAATTGCCTTTAATCATAAAACACCTTTGTATAATGTTTGCAGATGACGCTACTTTGTTTATTTCTAATGATAATCAAAACGATCGTGAATTTTTCCGAGATTAGTACCACTATAAAATCTGTAATGACTTGGCTTGCTTCCATAAACCTTAAACTTAACTTGGATAAAACAAAGCTACTGCAATTTGGAAACTATAAAAGGACACCTTTACAACTTCAAGTAGAGATACATAATAAAAGAATTGAAATGGTAAATGAGATAAAAATTTTGGGGGTCAACATTGACACCCATTTAAATTGGAAATCACATGTGAATAAAGTAAATGACAGATTATCCAGTATCTGCTATATGCTTCCCATAATGACAAATGTTGCTTTACGAGAAGTTCCAATTAATGCATATTATGGTTACGTATACCCTCTCTTGACATACGGCGTTATATTCTGGGGAAATTCGGTTAATGTTAACTCAATTTTTATAATGCAGAAAAAATGTTTAAGCATAATCTATAATTTAGATCGAATGTATTCATTGAGAGATATTTTTAGGACACATAAATAATTATCTTACCTTGACATTTTAGAAATTAGTTTGTTTGTTAAGAATAATATAAATATTTATTGTAAAACGAGCTCAATAAGGACAAATGGACGGACGCAGAAACGTGGGGCGTCAACCAGCCCGGTGGACAGATGACATCATTAGGATAGCCGGAGCGAAATGGATGCAGTCTGCCCGAGATCGCAATAGATGGAGTGCAATGGAAGAGACCTTCACTCAGCAGTGGATGGATAGTGGTTGAGGAAGAAGAAGAAGAAGAAGGTCAAATGTGAGGTCGCAATATACTAATAACTTGTGTTCGATTCCAGTCTCAAGTTATATATTAGAAAACAGCACATACGTTGCTGCTATAAAGACATTTAACCACTTACCTGTATGTATTAAATCTGCAAATGGCATTTAATTCAAAAATAAAATAAAAAAATGGCTAATTGAAAATAGTTTTTATAATCTTAAGAAATTTTATGACAGTAAATCTTAATGATTTTATTTTTAATTAATTATTATAGATCATAATTTTATTTTTATATTGATTGATTGCAAATTATAATTTTAACTTATGAAATTAATTTTAATTGAATATTATTATTTACTTTAATTTTTGAATTTTTGACATTGTAAAAGAATTTTAATTAACTATTGACATTGTACGTCCGAAATGGGCAGACTGTTTGGATCTGTATTTTAATACATAATGTTACCACCTTATTGTACCCAGTTTAAACAATGAATAAATGAATCTGAATCTGAATCTTTATAACAATAGTATAGATTGACTTTGATTAAAAGTTTTGAAGTAAAAACAAATATATTTCAAAAAGACATTCTGGATAAGAGAGTTGGTACCGTTAAACGTTTCTCACTGATGTGATGCATTGAATACAAAGTGATGTGCGCAGGAGCGCGAACCCGGAACCTATAGTCCTGACGTGCGCACACGCAACGGCTGTTACTGCTTCACGAAATATGTTTGAGTCGTGAGAACTGCTATTGTCTATATGTATATGAAACTTCTTTGTTAATATACAATACGCTAAGTCATATAAATAATGCAGAAGATTATGTAATATATATAAGACTCTTTTTCTAGATTGTCTACTAAATGACTTTACTCCGACGTTACTTATTAAGTGATATAAGAGCAAAAATATTTAAATATATAGTTGATTTCTATATAAATATACTTATATATGTGTCAGTATATGTATTCTATTCGTTACCCTAGTATCCCATAAAACAAGCCTGCAGTGCTTACTTTGGAGCTAGGCTAATTGGTGTGAGTGTTGGAAATATTTATTTATTATTTATTATTTATTACCACAGAATATATCTTTTTATGATCTCTGAGTAGAACAATTCTAGTGATTTTGGCACTGCTATAAGCCGAAGAGTCAGCGACATTTGAAATGAGTGCTCATAAGAATCTTAGAAAATGAATTTGAAGCATTTCGTTTTGAGTTGGCTCAATGAGCCGACGACAGCTGCAGCGCACTGTTATTTATTTATTTAATTCTAGACCAAAATCCACAGCATTTTGTTAATATAATACAGGTTTAACAATATAGTTTATCAATATAGCTGCACAATTCTTTACGCCCTATATATAAACAATTTTAAGTGTAAAAAATCTCGGCAACATTTACGCCTACATATTTTTTATTAATGTAACATGATGATAATGATCGAGGAGCTCGATGGCGCAAGTGGTTAACGCGTTCGGCTGCGATCGTTGAAGTTAAGCAACTTTCACTGTGGTCGGTCATTGGATGGGTGATCAAAAATTTACTCGTGCTCCACCGTGCTTCGGAAGGCACGTTAAGCCCCAACTGTATCTTCAGTCGTTTGCATCCGCAAATCCGCACTGGGCCCGCCGGTGGGTCATGGCCCAATCTCCCTATTCCATCCATAGGGAAGGCCTGTTCGCCAACAGTGGGGAAATCTATAGGTTGATGATGATGATGATAGCGATTGCCACCCATCAAGTGTATGACCTGATGAGCTTCCTGATGGTAAGATGCGCTTTAAACTATAAATACTTCCGATATCAGAGTATGCCGCGCCGCCGGTGCCTAATCTTAGTGAATTGAAATGAAAAGTCATTTACTCAGTCTAGGCTGTTACAAGCATTTGTGAAGGTCAGAAGCTACGCCATCGGTTTGCAAAACTACGGCGAGAGACCTTGTACTGAGAAGAACCGGCAAGAAACTCAGCAAGGGCTGCTTTTTTCTGTCTGTATTGATATTATACAGAGTCGTCAAGTTGAAAAATGACTTCAAAGATACTTCTGAAGTCACCTTCCAACTATCTATGCTTAAAATAAATACAAAAAAATAATAAGTTTTATTTATGTGACTTTTTTAAAGTAAAACAACTCACCGAATGTCAAACATCCTGCAATGATAATCCAATAGTATAAAACGAACATTTTCACGTCACACGACCTTCGTGTTTAGTACGAAACGACATCGACGCCGCCTCATCGGTGCACTAACACTGCAATCCACTAACATCACTTCACTAACACTTTATTCCAATATTATCACATCAACAGTGACGAGTTTCACTAAATCTGTTTTAACACTTCAGGGTTACTGGTTTGTTGATGAATTCTGAAACAATAATAAAATAATTTTAATAAGAGATAGGTTTCAAGAATTTGGAATAATGACGGTCGCATCACAATACATATACAAAAATTTATGACTTGTAAGAAAAAATATTAATTTGTTTCTTAAAAACAGTGATGTTCACACACTTAATACAAGAAACAAAAATAAAATAACTTTACCTGCTACTAGGCAATCATTCAATCAATTAATTAAATTAAACTAAATTCAAATCAATCATAATCAATAATTCCTTTAAAGGTCTTTGTGTTCGCTTATACAATAAAGTCCCAAGCAATATCCAAAAGTCAACCATAAATAAATTCAAAGATAGTATAAAAAAGCAGTTATTAAAAAAGCTCATTACAAAGTGTCTGATTATATTATAGACAAAAATGCTTGGGTTTAAACTGTTCCAATCATTCCAACAGGTTTTCTACATTAAATAAATCATGATTGTATTGCCGTTGTAACAACATAATGATTTGTAAATATTGTTACATTATACTTTTGATGTTGTGGAGTTTATTACGCTCGTTTTTCTCCGCAGCTAAAAAATAGGTCGTATAACGAGTGGTAGGCAAAAAAATGTTTGGACGATTCAAAAGAGTTGTACTATACATCCAATTTGAATAAATATATATTGATTTCTGATTTCTATCCCATCTTCTACTTTCTTTCAGAGGACCACGCGCGCTGGCCTACGTCGTCACCGACTTACTACGGCCACAATTCCATCGCGGACAAAGAAATTTGGTGACTCATTTGTCGTACTATCCGCAAATTGGAATGCTTTGTCCGCTCACGTTAACACTCTCTCCTGCAACCTTTAAAAGAGGCGTAAAGAAGCGATATGCAGACCGGCGAGGTGAGGATGGCTGGTGTGGCAGGTAGAACTGCTGTACCAGCTATCTTCGCGTCTGAACTCCACCGTAACTTAAGTATTCGTGAAGCTAAGAACTTTCATAATGATCAGCTGTTAAGATCGGTGACTAAACTTTGATTATCTCGAGTTCCTCCGTGATTTAAAAGGCGCTTTTCGTTGGTTGGTTCTTAAGCTGCAAGGAAGAGATGGCGCTGCCTTGCAGCTTAAGAATAGCTAGAAAGAATTTCGACGCGGTCCGTGAGGGCCGCGGTAGCATAATTGGTCAGTGCATTCGCCCGGATTGCGAAGGGTGCGGGTTCGAGTCCCGTCTGCTGCCTGGTCCGCGTGGAATTTTTTCTAGTTATATTTTCTTTAGATTTAAACATCAAGCAGTTACATGCTTTAAAAATAATAAAAATTATAACGTAGACTAAAGTTAAACCATTTTTTTGTGTCTGGAAAATGCCTTACGCATCCTTCAACCACTGGGGGAGCGAGAAGAAGGTATGTGGGACCTCCCTGTCCTCTTCAGCCAGCCCTGGAGCCAGACCACGGTAATATTATTAATATTACCGTGACATAGTAATACGATAATTAAATTGATAAGTCATCAAATAAATAGTGTGTGATTTGTGCATTTGGAAAAAGTTTAATTATTGCATGTGCAATTAGAGTTTCAAAATTGCAATTATGGAGTTTTATAAAGGTATTATTAGAGTGAAAAGTTAATTAGTTAGGTATACCCAGACATGTAAAATGTTTTCAGTTCGTGTTTGTATAATAAATAAATAAATGTTTCCAACTCTCACACCAATTAGCCTAGCCCCAAAGTAAGCACTGTAAGGCTTGTGTTATGGGATGCTAGGGTAACGGATAGAATACATATACTGTACATATATAAGTATATTTATATAGAAATACATATTAAACATCCATGACTGGAGTACAAATGCTCGTATTCATCACACAAACATCTGCCCCCACCGGGATTCGAACCCGGGACCTCTCGAGTCGGCGACACCATGAAACCCGGCGTACAAACCAATCGGCCACTGAGGTCTAATAATAGTAAGTAAGTATTCTCATTGCAAATGAACTTTATGGTTTTATAAAAACAAATTCTTTAAACCTAATTATGTCGATTATTATGTCGTAACACTCCGCCCTGTACCCAATAACACCTGATTAATGGCTTTCACTTTGCTATGAATCAAAAATCATCATCATCATCATCAGCCTATTAATGTCCTCACTGCTGGGACACAGGCCTTCCCTATGGATGTAGTAGCGAGATTGGGCCATGACCACGCGGGCCCAGTGCGGATTGGCGGGTGCTAACGACTGCAGGTACAGCCGGGACCAACGGCTTAACGTGCCTTCCGAAGCACAGAGGAACTCGAGATAGAAGATTTTTGGTCACCCATCCAATGACCGACCACTGCGAAAGTTGCTTAAATTCAACGATCGCAGTCGAACGCGCTAACCACCTGCGCCATCGAGCTCCTCTATGTCAATCAAAAATGACTGCTGTTAATTAAGTTATCAAATTGTTCTTTAGGTGATATTAATGTAGCTAATAATCTTTCATTTAAAGATCCTAAAACTTTCATATATTTTGCTACTTCTTGTTCTTCGTTGATCATTTGTACGGATTGCAAGATTGCTTTCACGTAAAATGGATATTTGAATTACAGTATTTAAAGAAAAGCCAAGATAAAAAGTAACTAATGCTTTTCACAGCCGGTAAAACATAAATATTTAACTAGCGTAGCCGACAGACGTTTTCCTACCGAAAAATATATTAAAAAAAAATGACTGTCATGATATTCGTGAACGGCAAAATTGACTGTCATGATATTGTTAGCCAAATTGGTGTGTCAGTGCCATATAACTACCCGCGAAAACCAATTATGAGTATATTTAATATTCCATACTGTCGAACGAATGTCGGACTCCACTCACCTATACCACGAATATGTAGAACATACAACGAACTATGTGTGAGAAATGCTGGTATTGATGTATTTTGTGATACTTTGTCAACATTTAAACGAAAGTTGTGTAATCTGTGACAAAGACTGTTTTTTGTGTAATGTTATTAGTATTATTATTGAAGTTATACTTCTTTAGGCGCGTTATGGAAAAATTATGAGAGTGAAATTTTAAGATGCGCGCGGTCTTACTTTTGTGTTTACCGCACATTAAGAAAATCTACCAACAAAATAGAAATAGAATCTCTATTTAGTGGGTGCTAACTAGTGTTGCCGATCGATAGTCGACTATCGATGATTAACCGGTAGTCTATCGATAGCCAACCAATCGTATGACAATCGATCGGCTTATCGATAGAAACGATACTATCAATAGTATCGATAGCACAGAAAAAGCCAATACTATCGGATGAGTTAAATACTATCGATAGTATTGTAGTTCGTTAATAAGAAACTATCGATAGTATCGATATTATTTGCACCATACTATCGATAGTTTAACAATTTGCAATAGTATTGTTTACAATTTTCAGGTATTATAGTCAATCCAAACTTTAGTCTAGAACAATCGCTAGAATCGATACTATCGATAGTATTGTTGCAGATAAAATCAACACTATCGATAGTATCGATACTATCAATAGTTTGTTATTAATGAACTACAATAGTATCGATAGTATTGCACTCATTCGATAGTATTGCCTTGTTCTGAGCTATCGATAATATCGATACTATCGGTTGTATCGATAGGGTACATGATTTTCGATGTAAACTGTTGATAGTTTTAATATCGATAGTTCGGCAACACTAGTGCTAACGACTGCATTGTGAAGGCCTATCAAAAGTATTTATTAATCTGGAACAACGGAACCAAAGCGCGATTCAGGAGACTACAGCGCCATCTCTTGACCATTGGTGTAGTAGAACCAAAAACCACATCTTTATTTTTTGTAATAAAGTAACAGTTATAGGTATTCATATTTATAATATTTATCCACATGTTTCTAGTTTGTATATTCGGAATACGTGTTTGAGTTTCATACAAGTGCAAATCACATATGTTCTAATAAATTAATCAGTAGCGATTTTAATTGAATATTTTGATTATTTATTTATTTTTTCAAATGAAAACTGAACTTTATTGACTGTGTCCTTTTCCAGACTTTTTATTAATTTATTGTAATTAATTATTTGCATGCAATTAAAAACTAATTTTAAACGATGCCAAAGAAGGATAACTTCTCACGCGCCTACATAAGTACACGCACCCATTTTTTTAAATGTTAAATTCTAATTTATTAATTGAGCATTGTTTGGTTAAATGTAATAATTGCAATCTTATTTAATTTAATTTAATTTAATATGTAATATTATAAGTTAAAATTCAATCCTAAAAATTGTATTTGTTAGACCATAATTATGAATGACGTCAACACTTATAATTGTTGTGTTAACAAGTAAACAACCAATGTAAAATATGGTATATCCATGTATGATTAACGCAATGTTAGTGTTGCTAATCTATATCTATACTTATAATAAATCTGTAGAGAGGTCAATTCTGTACATGAAATATATTTTCAAAATAACTATCAGGGGGTGATTAATGATCGATACTGATGCCAAAAATGCAATCAGTAAATTTTTTGTCTGTCTGTCTGTCTGTCTGTGTGTATGTTCCTTATAGAAACAAAAACTACTCGACCGATTTTAACGAAACTTGGTACAATTATTCTTCATACTCCTGGGCAGGTTATAGTATACTTTTCATCACGCTACAATCAATAGAAGCAGAGTAGTGAAGGGAAATGTTGGGAAAACGGGAGAAGTTACTCCATTTTTTTTGCTTCCGTCGCGTGTGCAGCCTTAATGGTTAAAATTACATAGAAATCCTGTATGACGGAAATATTCTACATAAAATTGTCTAAAAAATATCCTGCAATAGCATATGTCTATCTTTTATGGTTGACTCACAATAACACGTGTAACTCCTCATAGCTTAGCAGTTCGGAGCATTCTGATTATATTTGTTTACTCTTACGTTTATAAAACTCTTACTCATCCATAATTTTAAAAAGTTAACATTATTACCTATTCAATAAAAAAATAATCATAGAAATCGGTATAGAAACACCAAACTTATACAT